TCGGAGCGCCCGCCCCGGTGCCCGCCGCCTCCAAAGCCATCGCCTGCCAAGAGATCACGGTGCCCATGTGCAAAGGCATCGGCTACAACCTGACCTATATGCCCAACCAGTTCAACCACGACACGCAAGACGAAGCCGGGCTGGAGGTGCATCAGTTCTGGCCCCTGGTGGAGATTCAGTGCTCTCCCGACCTGAAGTTTTTCCTCTGCAGCATGTACACCCCCATCTGCTTGCTGGACTACTCCAAGCCCCTGCCGCCCTGCCGGTCGGTGTGCGAGAGGGCCAAGGCCGGCTGCTCCCCTCTGATGAGGCAGTACGGTTTTGCCTGGCCCGAGAGGATGAACTGCGACAAGCTGCCAGTCCTGGGCGACGCGGAGATGCTGTGCATGGATTACAACCGGACGGAGGCCACCACCTTGCCCCCGTCCTTTACCAAACCCATGCGCGCTGTCAAAGGGACCCGCAAAAACCTCACCCCCTTGGACGGCGGGGACTGCAAGAGGGTGTGCGAGTGCAAAGAGCCCTTGGTTTTCATCTCCAAAGAAACCCACCCTCTGTACAACAAGATTGAGACGGGCCACGTACGCAACTGCGCCATCCCTTGCTTCCAGCCCTATTTCACCCAAGACGAGAAGACTTTTGCCACCTTCTGGATCGGTCTGTGGTCGGTCCTCTGTTTCATCTCCACCTTCACCACCGTGGCCACCTTCCTCATCGACATGGAGAGGTTCCGATACCCGGAACGCCCCATCATCTTCTTGTCTGCCTGTTATCTCTTTGTCTCCATTGGCTACATCATCCGGCTGGTCGTGGGCCATGCCAGTGTGGCCTGCAACAAAGATTACAACCACATCCACTACGAGACCACGGGGCCTGCCCTCTGCACTGTGGTTTTCCTCCTGATCTACTTCTTTGGCATGGCCAGCTCCATCTGGTGGGTGATCTTGTCTCTCACCTGGTTCCTGGCTGCTGGGATGAAGTGGGGGAACGAGGCCATTGCCAGCTATTCCCAGTATTTCCACATGGCTGCCTGGCTTATCCCAAGCATCAAGTCCATTGCTGTGCTGGCCCTGAGCTCAGTGGACGGGGATCCCGTGGCCGGCATCTGCTACGTGGGCAACCAGAACTTAGACAAACTCCGGGGTTTTGTTTTGGCTCCCTTAGTAGTGTATCTTTTCACAGGGACCATGTTTCTGCTGGCTGGTTTCGTGTCCCTCTTCAGGATACGTAGCGTCATTAAACAAGGAGGCACCAAAACTGACAAGCTGGAGAAGCTGATGATCCGCATAGGCATCTTCACAGTCCTTTACACCGTCCCTGCCACCATTGTGGTGGCCTGCTACATCTACGAGCAGCATTACCGGGAGAGGTGGGAGACGGCTCAGAACTGCTCTTGCCCCGGGGAGAAGCGCAAGCTGAAGCCTGACTATGCCGTCTTCATGTTGAAGTATTTCATGTGTCTGGTGGTGGGGATCACCTCGGGGGTCTGGATTTGGTCGGGCAAGACTCTGGAGTCTTGGAAGCGGTTCACGGGGAGATGCTGCAGGAGCGGGAAGCCTGTGAGCACCACCATGTACAGCGAAGCGAACACGGCTCTGACAGCCCGGACCGGACTGCCCAGTTCCGCTTCCTACCACAAACAAGTCCCTTTGTCCCATGTATAACAAAGCACCTTTTGCTCAGTCACCCCGTTGAGAGTAAGAAAGCATGGCACAGCTCCACTCCCGACTGGAAAAGTTCTGGGAACCATCCTGGAGCTTTCAGCTTCCTTGTCATGGAACTCTGGGCTTCATCTCAGAGTTTGAAAAGAGGGTTGGCTGTATGGGGAATAGGGAGGAGACCCAGTTTTCAGATTCGCAGTCTTTACAAATAGGACCCTCTGCACCCTTGGGCCTGCTTGCATCCTTCCTTGAGAATGCAGGAGGAAGGACTGCTTAAGGCCAGGCTGCACGTGGCAGGAGAGATCCCTCTGGGCTGTGTTTTGGCTTCCCCTTCTTAAAATGAAAAGCAGCCCTTGGAGTTTGCAGTTCTGACTAGAGGAGAGGGAGGGGGAGGGGGTGCCTAGCTGCCCTCCCTCCTTTTTCTTTAGTCTCTCAAAATGGTGCCCCAGTTCCCCATCATTTTCTCACACTGGTGGAGAGCAGGTGAGGATTGGCAAGTTTGAGCTGGCAAATGGAAGAAGAAGAAGAAGAGATCAGAGTTTGGAAAAGTGACTTATCTGAGGGATTCTGGGAGCTGTAGTCCAATAAGTAACCTTTCCAAGCTCTGATGGAGGATTAAACAAGCCCTCCGCCCTTTTCAGGATACATAACAGAGCAATCATGGACATGCCTAGTCAGAAGTGAGTCCTGCTGAGTTTAGCAGAACTAAAGTCCCAGGTGAGTCGGTTTTGAATTGCAGCATTTCATGTTCCAGGTACTACCTAGCTTGGCTCTTCAGATGCATCCACTGTTTCGTTGGAGAACTAATTGCTTAAGTCTGGGAGATGAACTGTGGCACACATATTTTGTTCACTGCTTTTCGGCAGCAGTGTTTCATTCTTGTCTGTATCCATAATGCCCATGCGCTGGAAGATTAAAATGTAAAGAAGGAGCAGTTCTAAAGAAGGCAGTTCTGCATTTGAAATGAGTGGGTTGTGGAGTTAAGATCAAGCAGAGTCCAAATTCCAGTTTTATTTTTGGATGGCATAAAGTCTACCATCATCAGTTTTTATACGTGCCTTGGCCAAACTGAATACCAGGCAGCCTCGTAAAGATGCAGGGTGTGAGTGCTAATTCCTCTCCTGTGCTGTTTCAAGGGATAGGCTGGGAATGAAAGGAGGAAGGGCCAGAGAGGGGGAAAGTTACTTTTTGGGACTCAAATTCCCAGCTGCCAGGATTCCCCAGATAGTATGGCAGTAGCCAACTTTCCAGTTTTGATGGCGAGACTTGCGCAGGGTCTTGTCAGATACAGAAGCTGCACTCGCGGCCTTCGTGTCTAATTTCTCACTTTTGCAAATGGAACTGCGCGTTTAGAGTTCTTATTTGAATGGGCTGCTTTTATACACACTAATAATTATCTATCTCTTTCCTGTCCCATCTGAATTGAGCCTTCCCACTCACCAGCTACTGCTTTTGGGGAGTGCAACTCCTGGGGATACTGGGAGTTGTAGTCCAAAAAATAAACCCTTAATTCTTCTGCTAACAAAAACCATAAATATGGGACATGAGAGCACATGCCTTGAATGAGAACGAACCCTGCAAAATAAGCCGCCTTGCGAGTACTTTTCAATTGGCATATATAGGGTTATGCTGTTAGTCTTGCAAAACAAAGAACAGGTTTTTACAAACTCCATGTGGAAGCCAGTTCCCTGTGGAACCCAAACGGTACCAGGTGTGACTTCAGCAGGTCGCTCTCTGCTTTGGCAGGCGATCAGCCTGATCCTGCGCAAGGTTATTCAAAAGTATGTCTTGCTGAGTGTAACTGGGACTTACTGACACAGAAGCATGCCTAGGGTTGCAGCCTTGAACAGCGCTGGACATGTCTTGATTCCCTAACGCACCATTTCCTCCTTTTTCTTTTTTCTGTTTACTCTTCTGTCTGCCGTTTGTTGGAACAATGGTACTTTGGTGCCAAGTTTTACAGTTTGGCTCTTGTTTCTGACAGGAACAGAGTGGAGCCCTCTTTTTTTTTCGTGGTGGTGGTGGGGAGCCTTCTCCACTCTTAGAAAATGAGGCTTTGTTGCTACTACAGTCTTGAGCTAGTTGTGTGAAACCGTTGCTGCTGTTCTAGTTAGTCACCACCCAAACAAAGAAGGAAAAAGAGGTCAAAAAATCTGGTTGCTGAATGAAAGAAAACGGATTCACTACATCCGTGTAGCACTTGCACTTTAGAGATGCGCCTCCTTCACAAGGTGGCAAGACAGAAACCTCAACCCCACTCTGAGATGAGACAGAGGATCCTGCTGGTGATCTGCCTGTGTAGGATCTCTCATGGCTAGGCTAATTCCAACTCCAACCCAGGCTCCTGAAGGCGGTGGCATTCCCAAATGCAGCGCCTTCACGTAAACAGTTAATCATTCTTCTCACATTGAGCACTGGCCTCTCCATCCCTTTTGTTTAAGTCATGGTAGCAAGAACCATCAATAGCTTTCTGTTTCCAAATATTGGCCAGCGTGTTTTTAGGTTGTGAAGCGACGGCCTCCAGCACCTTCGAAATGGAGTGGTCCTCCCCTCTCTCTCCCACCACCCCGCCAGCCAAACATGGGAGAAGTTACTTCTCTGGGACTCCTGCCCTTGGGGAGTTTCTGGGAACAGGAGTCCAGAACAAAATATTCCTAAGCTCTTATTTTTAATTCATTTCTCTGCTTTATACCCCACCTTTCCTGGCAGCAGTTTTTCCAGCTCACCCTTCCCTGCCCACTGCCACTATCCTAGAACAATGCTCAGTATGGCACTACATCACCTGGTGGCAACAAGGGGTTTCCTTACTCTTCCAGTGCAGAGTGTGTGCCATTTAATTCTACATGGAGAAAGTTTGCCTGTGTTATCTGCTGCATCTGCTTTGCAAAAGAAGATGGGAATCTTTTCCAACTGTGTACGCCAAGGGGCAGCTCTCCCATGGGAGAGAGGCTGGTTTGAGAATGGCCCAGCCTCTTTGGCTTCCTTGTGTGTATCTGGAGGGTGGGGTGGGCAGACCCGTATACCCACTTGGGTACCATGTGGAGACTGCTTTTTCTCCCCCCTTCCCCCACCAACTAGTCTTGCCATTGGAAGGAATTTGCTGTGACCCAGGAAAAGCAGAGGGTTGCGTTCTTATGGGCTAGTTCACTAGTTTCTGTGCTGATGGCTCGCTATCATCTGCAATCATCAGGGCATAAAGATGATATACAGGAGAAACTTTGTTATTGCTTCCCATGCTATGTTTTTCACTGTAGCTGATTTCTCCATTTACACGGGAAAGTCAAATATATCCTTAATTCAAAATCATCCAAGACCAAGAGCGACTGGATCTGCAGTTCTACAAATGCTTCCCTGGTAGTATGTTCTGTTGAATTCAGTGGAATATACTTCTGGACTTTGGTAAAAAGGCTTGCCTGTGCTTCATTTTACACCTAGAATACTTGAGAAAGAGAAAGACAGCATCTTTCTCTGCAGTTGCCGGTGCATTTCTGTTGACAAGATAATCTTTTCTTTCTTTCTTTTCCTGTTTGCTTTCTGACTGCTTCCACTGTGCACTTTAAAGGTTGCAACCAAACCTTTCCAGGATCTCCATCCATACCTCACTGGTAGCATCTTGCTTAAGTGTCGCTGTAGAGAGGTGTATCTGAGCTACGTAGTTGTATCACTTTGATGCTGTGTTTACTAAAGAGTCCTGGTGTTTTGAGTTTGGCATGAAATTCTCTTCTGGAGCGTTCCTGGTTCTGTAGTTCAAGGGAGTGTTTAAATGCCCCACCAGTCTACCTGTCTGAGGCTTCTGTCTGGTAGAGCGATGGCCTTTACGGCGGTATGAAACGGCTAGTCCCGCCATTGGAATATTTCTCCAGCATTCTCCCCCTGGGTTCAATTTGGGTTACTGAATCCAGGAGGAAGAGGGAACATTTGTGACAGCCTCTTGCATTAGCTCAGGGCCATGTGGCAGCACGGCTCTTTCCTGTAACACAGGGTGAGCACGGATTGGAGGTCCTGCCCAGATGACACAAGAATCCAGTCTTTGTCTGACTCCAGGGGTCCCACATCTGCTGCTGCTGCTAGCTGGGCTTAGCGAAAGAGTGTGCAGCTCGGAAAGGTCACATCTAGTCCCTGGAGCAGATGACCGTTAGCCCTGGTAGTGTCAAATGTTAAACACACACATGGCGCAGAGGGAGGATAAAGGCAAGGCTGAAAGCATCATACAGGTGATATTTTGGCCTGTACAGAGCTGTGCTCCCCCGTTCTGCCTGATGTCATAAAAGGCAAGCAAAAGTGCACTGGCAGAACTTCAGAAGCATTTCCCAAAGTTTCTATGGGTTGTTCATTTTTGCACATTAAAACTGTGACAACACATGCTTCGTTTGTAAAGTATTTCATTACTCTACAGACGGATATTTCCGTCTTTTGAAACAGCTGTGTTTGATATGCTGTATGACAGCCTAAGATCCTCATGGTGCTTTCAGGCTCATACGTGTATTCTGCTGTACATTTTTATGGACTGACATCTGCTTTGTGAGATATGTACAAAGTGTAGGGGACATGGTGGTGCTGTGAGTTAAACGTAGAAGCCTCTGTGCTGCAAGGTCGGAAGACCAGCCGTCGTAAGATTGAATCTGCGCGACGGAGTGAGCTCCCGTTGCTTGTCCCAGCTCCTGGCAACCTAGCAGTTCGGAAGCATGTAAAATGTGAGTGGATAAATAGGTACCATCTCGGCAGGAAGGTAACAGCATTCCATGTCATAGTTGCACTGGCCACGTGACCACGGAAACCATCTACGGACAAACACTGGCTCTGCGGCTTGGAGACGGGGATGAGCACCACGCCCTAGAGTCAGACACGACTGGACTAAAAATGTCAGGGAGAATCTTTACATTTCAAAGTGTGACCTGCAGTTACAGTCTACATAGGCAGCACCCAACCCTGAGTATGTACCTGCAGTTTAGGTATATACATCTGAGTTCGTATGTCTGAGGTTATCTCATAGTACAGGTGTGTGACTTTAAGTAACCATGATTCTTCATTATCGTTACAACATCCATTGAAGCACAGAGTGTTTGAATTTTTGTTGTTCGAAATAGCACAAGATATTACTGGTTAAAATACACACGTGAACCCGGTCTGTTAGAGATCTAAAGGCTTTTAAAGGCTTCTCTACTAGAACCCAGGTGTTGGGCGAGGAAGGAGTAAGTGCCAACTCTTCCTTCAGGAGGTTTTCATGGCAAGGGAGAATTTCAACTTGCAAAGGCACTGACTTTTTAAAAAATAAATGTGAGTTTCCAACACATCTTCCTTTTCTCCCTCAAAGGCCACAACTTGGAGCAAATAAAATTTGACCTTCAAACCAAGATGAACGAATGCTTTGCCAACAGCTTTTTTTTTTTAAGCTTCATATCTGAAGAGGAATCTGAATCTGGCTCCTTGCGTTCACTTTTTAATGTAGCACAGATACACCTCCTGCCTTTTATTAGGCGATGCTCTCAGTTCTTGTTTGGCACAGTGTGGTGGGTGGAAGATCCAGCCTTGAAGGCAGAGAATGCCTGTGATTCTGGTCTGGCTTCTTCCAGCCCCATGATTCAGTGCAGCTTGTGCTCACCCCTTCAGGTACTGCAAACTTCACGAGGATTGAACTTTGGCTATGGGCTTGATAGCTGCTGTCGGTCATATTAGAACAAGGACACAGAGTCGTTCAATCTGCTCCTGCATCTCTGTGGTGTCCCTTGTTTTCCTTCTGCTGGCAATTTTGAGCAGCAGCCTTACTTCCATCTAAATACTGGAACTCCCGATCTGGATTACATATTGTGACTGGACTCCCTTTGGCTGCAAGTGAGCAATTTGTAGCCTTCTAGATGCTGTTTGAATGCAACTCTCATCCTCCTTAGGCTACCTAACCTCCCTGACAGGGGCTACAAAGGATGATCCATAGCCTCCCTTTCAGCTCTGCAATTCTAAGATGATTGTCGGTGAGGGATGGTGAGACTTGTGTTCCTAGAGGGCCACAAATTGACCAACCATGTCAATTCCCATTTTAACTTTAATGTACACATTGGCCCAGATCCTGTTGTGTAGTGTAGTAAGTTGCATTAAAGTAGGCGTACTGAATCTGTGTGTGAGTCAATTCTCCTGAAAGTTCCATGGATTGAATATATAGTACAGTAAATCACAGTTAAGAATAGGTCCATTTGAATCAATAGAACTTATGGAGGAGTTGACTCACCAAATCCTCACCAGTTCAATGGGCTTACTCTAGTGTGATTTACTGTATTATAAATTCTATACTTGACCTTTGTGTGGCTACCTTTCCCAGACAGTTGTCACTAGCAGGTGTCACAAATTAAAACAATTTGGCCGTTTTTGTCTTGAATATTGCGGATCAATAATCTGTTGTGATTTTTTTTTCTCCATAGCCGCTAGTGTTAACAGTAAGTCTGTTCCCTTTCGTTGTCTCTTTTAACAGGGTGGACCAGTTAGAAAGAGTAGCTCACTTTGGCAGGTCACAGTCCCAAAGTAACAGCAGTCATACTTCTGTTCCATGAATTGAATGAGCTTGCTTGGGCAAAATTCTATTCCCCCCCCCCCACATTTGTGTACTCAGAAATAATTTGTTCAACATCTCCACTCACACCCTTAGCAAAATTTATTTCTTATTGATTTTAAAGTATAGTTGAGAAGATGTCCCTTCTTTATGCTACTAATTCAGACTGTGCTAGGGTTCAGTGACCTTGTTGGCCCTGGCTGATGCATGTTGGCCAGCATCCTTAGAAATGCATTTGCCATCTTTTCCAGCTAAGCCTACGTCCCCAGCCGGATTGGTGAATAGGATAGAAAGTACTTTATTTAAATTACTGAGGAATGAAGCTTGCTCCTTCTGTATTGGTACCTGCAAGGCCAGGTTTTTGATGACCAGTCGTCCTTTGGGAGGCACATCAACCACTTGGGACTTAACAGGTGTGGCAGTTCTGTTGGAGAACGTGCAGCGGTTCATCCTTCCATTCCTTGCTCAGATCCTGTTGTACAAAGGCAGAGCCATATCGGCTGCCCGGAGCTGTCTGGTGGGGAACTAGTGCATTCCCCACCAAGTCATACACACCCATATATAATTTTTGAGTGGGGCGTTATGTCAATGAAAACATTATTTTTCTCATAGAACAGGCCAGGCTAGGTGAGTTTTGAAAATTCAGCTCTCATTTCATGTTTACTTTGAAACTTCCCATGCTGTACAAAACATTTAGGATAGAGAAAAACACAACTTGGAAAGAAGGCAGCTCCTGCTTGAAGTGCGCTTTTAGGGCAGCTGCGTGGGCTAGACTGGGCTTGCTGTCATTGGGAAACTCTTGGCCCAGACCCGAGTGCAGTTTGTGGGCGGCCAGGCCTGTGCCCGTCCTGTCTCTAGCGTCAGATAAACAGCAAAGGTTGGTGCGTCAAAGCTCTAGTAGGCTGCTGCAGATCACAGTTAGATGAAAGGCTGTTTCTGATTCTGATTTTGCCTGTTTGAGACATTTCCCAGTGTGACCCCGTAAGAGCAATATCTTAATGAATCAGAGGCAGGGGGAATTTTCAGGGTTTAGGGAAGATGACTCTGCTACTAGAAGGCTGAAAACATCTTACTAGATGGTAAAACAAAAACAAAAGGGAAGGAGAAAAATGTAGATGTTCAGTGACTGAAATTGTAGTCCAAAGGCAGAAACTGTAAAGGGGAACTTGTTTGTTTTGACAGGGTTCCTTTAAGCAAGGCACAGTGTACACTAATATTTTACAAGACGGAATTGCACCATGTAGTTATAGTGTGTAAATAGTTGTATTAAAAGAATTAAGTATGTATATACTGAATCTCGAGTGAACTTTTAATATGGGTTGGAAGCAGGTTGTAAATTGTGACAGTGAGACAGCTTTGGGTGTAGATAACAGGAAAGCAACCAGGGCATTAAATCGCTGCACTTGATGTCGGATTCATGCTTAGGTTGTGCTGCTCTTTCAGTTGTGCCTTGTGGAAATGAAGCTTCTGCATACTACTTGCAGTATGATTTAAAGTGTCATGCCAAAAGAGGCTTTAAAAAAAAAAGGACCTAGTTGATTCTGTAAAAAGCTTTAAGTGTAAATAAATAAACTGCAGACACTCATCTTAATAAAATGCATGAAGATGATTCCTGTAACCATGATTAGGACATTCTCTCGCTGGTACAAAAAAACTGAGCTGGTTTATGTTTCTGAAAATATACAGGACATATTCCTTTTGTACTGCTCGTACAAGACTGTTTAAGATGCAGATCATAACCTTTAGGGTTGTTTTTTTTTTAAATTCTATACCCAAACTCCAGCTTCTGTATGAAATTACACATGGACAGTAAAAAAGAACCACAAGACACACACCAATTCAGTCCAAAGTGGTTTAAAAAGGAAAACAACCACCACCACCTCCATTCTGGGACAAACAGTTCATGGAACACAACATGTCTTTTAAGTTTAGCTGAACATGCTACATTTTGTGAAAACATGAAAGAAGAGCCTGTAATGAGCACAGTTAAGAAGAAAGACGAAGACAAACATAGTTTTGTTTTCTAGTTTGTGATTATGGTGAATAGAAGACAAAAAAATTACGGGAATGTTTTCTTTCTGGAAGAGAACGGGGGACAAACAAGCAAGGACGTTTTGCTAAGCAGTAGCAGAGGGTTTTGTGAAGAGGGCCAAGAGCTGGTGTCCAGGATCCATGGTGATCATGATATCAGACTTTATGGGTTAACATTTGCATTGCCAAGGCTTCGCGTAGGAGCGGGTAAACGTTTGGCCATCCAGATGTTGCTGAAAGTCCTACACACATCATCCTTCACCATAGCAATGCTTATAGCAGATGTGAGTTGCAGTTGAGCAGCACGGGGGGTGGGTGGGTCAGATTGCCCATCCCTAGACTCCTCTTCATAAGAATCTTTCCACCTTTCTTATAGAACTGGTGACAGGCTTCCAGCTGAGCGGAGTCAACTGTATTGCTAAATTTGTTAATCACCAGAGAGGTCTCTTGCTGATCCAGGATTATTAAATTTTTTTGCCAATGTGCATGAAAGTTTCTCAGATCATTGTCTCAGCGCCTGCTTCATTTCAGCAGCACTGTGTACAGAAGCAAGAAAAGCACTAGAGAGGCCATGGGAAAACTAGTGAGTTTGGGGGGCAAGTGGGGATTTGAACCCAAGTCCCACAAATCTTAGTCCAGCACTGTTTGCCAAATACTTCACTGCTTTTCTTCTGCTTTTTGTAAAAGCTTGTCCCTTGTAAGAAGCTTTAGCCGTTCACCTCAAAGGGAGAGCATGACTGGGTGCAGAGGTGTGTTTGACGCAGAAGCCTTTGGCCACAGAATTTCAAAT